AGCTAAACGCTGAGACATTGTCAGTTCAGCCGATAAATCTATACAAAAAGGAAAGAAATTCAATTAAACTATTTAATGAAATTCGAAAAATACTTTCTACATATAAAAGCAAAATTGGAAAAATGAAAGAAAAAAAACGATATGAAAAAATAATGAACATTTCCTGTTGATGAGAAGAATAGCATTTAATTGGTTTATGGAGTCAAACAAAATAATTCCATTGACACTTAACATTAGCGAAAGTTGATAGAAGCAACAGAGAAAGAAACGTTCTTAACTGTGAAACCGTCGAATAAAAATACTGAAAGGAAGGTGCAGAAAATCCAATAGATCTGTGCCATTAAAATCGACAGAGAAAAACAAATGTGTTGCGAATGTTTTTTTTTTCTAGTTAGGTTACACAGACATCGAAGATGCGAAGGAATTTATTTGTGGGTACACTACTTATTCGAGTCAAATGAATTCTATCTCACCTTCTACGGCGTTTTGAAAAGTTTACGGCGATTTGCGGGGAAAAAGTGGCACAAGCTACACAATCAATTGAATCGATTGGAAATTGGAAATCGCTTAGAAAACTTCGTTTTTTCGGTTTATTTCAAATATCTTGCATGCAGCAAACAGTTTCGATGAGTCGAAGAACAAAAAACATGCGTGGTTAAAGGTAAGTGTCTTAGTTTTATTGAGTCACAAAAAGAGTACAGCACACTTTATGTGAAGATAGAAAAGAAGTATATGAATGAAGAGAGTTTTGTGTGATCAATGAATATAACATAATCGAATATTGAACGGCACAGAGTCAGAATGAGTGCAATAAACCATTGATGCAGACACTTTTTATTGGAAATTTTCTACTTCGAATGGAAGCGAACAAAATGGAAATGCATTTTGTGTGCAAAGATTGGGACGTTGGTAACTTTTCGGATACTTGAAACAAATCATCAACACCGTTATAATATGTGCAAAGAAAATAATCATTGCACCATAAATTCATCATCCAATTCCGAGCGGCCGAAGAAACGAATGCGACAAATGAAAGAGAGTGCGATATAACAGAGAATAACATTTCCAAGTCCATACACAATAGTTTTTTTTTCCTCCATAACCAAATGGACATATAGTCACTTGCTCGTTTGCTCGTTACATTGTGCATATGGAGCGTGTGCTGCCTGTGCTGTCTCGTGTACTAACGCTCTGTGCATATAAGCCATGAAATTATCAGTTATATCGATTGTTCATGGCAATGATGTTCTTTGCCGACGAGTTTTTATCACTCAAACTCACACATGCAGGTAATTTGCGGCTAATTTTCTTGATAGCCTATTCGTTTGGGTTTTTTTTCATAAATGTGAGAGATTGAGCGCGCGGCTCACAAAACGGTCTTGACATACCGACACAAAATGGTACACAACATGCGATAATAACATTTGCCAAGCCAATTATTTGCAAAGAAGAAACGAACAAATACGACGTTTCTCACAAGTTTTTAGGATGGAATTCTTCACATCTGTTTGAGCATCAAATCGGGCTTGTGGCTTCTATTCAACGATCATCAACATCACTTCTTGTTTCTCATTCTCTTTCTTCCTCTTTTGCTTATAACACACAAGATATATGTATATTTTTGTTATTTGAACTCGAACTTTCAGGCATGACATTTTGCTTGCATCCGTGATCGAGAAACACTGAACAAACGAATTAGACGAAGCAAGAAAAAGAACCAATTCAGAATTAGAATGAGAAAGAGATTGTCAATGAAAGAAAATTATATTCGAATATAGCGCACAATCAACAAGCTAAACCACACAAAAATTAAATAAATATGTAGGACATGAAAAATATATGCGCCCAATCTTTTTACCCAATAAAATAAATTTACCTATCGACCTATACAGCAAAAACAACAAATAGCAAATGGAATTTAATCGGTTACCAAGAATCTAGGTGATGTGCACAATGCGCATATATATTTTTACTTGGCACATAAGCACTACGGGCTTAACACATAATCCAATCGATTGTACGTATGCATCCGATTGCCATTTATAGAGCTAACAACTTGCGCAGCATGGTGAAATTCTTCTTGTTCGCATAAAGACAATGCAGTTCTCGTGTTAGTGGAGATGAATTGTGGCAATCTGTTTTCCAACTCAAACAATACGAATGGCTAACATTTCGAATTATCAAATGAAATTCATAGAAAAAAAAATCGCCGAAAATTTTCAACAATTTCAATTTCGTTGAATAGACTTCAAATAGATTTCAATTCATCGCCAAACGAATAGCACTGATACGTGGAGTGAGCGGCAGAGGTGATCGTTTGAAAGTGAAGTTGATAACAGCAATTTTCTCAAGTTCCAACATATACAAACTGGTAGTTTTCTAAATCCATTACTGATTTGTGTTGATTGCGCCTGGTTACACTCAACAAATATATGTGAAGAGGAGGGGAGGAGGAGAGGAGTAGTAGTTAATTGAAATATGTTCCTTCAAGAATTCCCTGGCGATAGTTGAAGCTAAAATATTTCTCGAGTGCACCGAGTTCAATTGAATAATTGAAATCACTTAACGAAATAGAATACTGATGTTCTTTGTTCAGTTAGTTTTGTTGTTTTCTTAGATTTGACCAAAGTATGTTAGATTTTTTTTTTCCAAATTACGGTCTCAATTTGATGTTTTTTTTCTACGAAAATGTAACAAAATAAAATAAAAGTTGCAATATACTGACCAGGTCCTATAAACAGCATCATTAGAGTGAATGGAATCATGATACAAAAAGCCAATATAAGTAAGCATCCACGACGGCGTAGAGGCGATGCTGTCAGCCCCATTTTCATCGTGACGAATTTTGAGCACCTAAATACAGAAAAAAAAGAATTGCATTCATTTTTGCTGTGATTTATTTACATACAAATCTATGTTAACCATCAATGTGTTATGCGTACTATTTTAAAATTGAATTGTATGACATTTCGAACTTTCAACTTGAACTTAACATTCGAAGTGGACAAAAATATTTTTCAAATGTGCGTAGAGTCCAAATTCTATTTTGTTTAGACATTAACGTATCGTAAATAAACGACATATGTATATGTGTCGCTGAGCATAAAAATGAGAATACAGATCTCTTATAAAAAGAACCGAATATGAAAAATTATTTCGTAAAAACGCAACATGAATCTCCAGTCGACATGAATGTAACATGAGCTATGGTTGCCACAGTATTCTTATGACGCGCTTCAGTGTGGTGCAAATTCATGTTGCATTTTTGGGAATCTACTTTTCCATGTTACGTCTTTCGCATATTGCTTCTTTGTTATATTTTTTCGATTATTCTGTTCATGTTGCATTTTTCAGATTGATTTCATTCATTCATTTACCAAAGTGATTTCGATGTGCCGACAATATCAATAGATTTTGCACACAAAATACTTAATTAGAATCCAAAAAAAAAACTTGTTTAACTTTTTTTTTCGATTTTCGGCTGTGTTGAGCAGGGAAGTTTCTATGAAAACGTCGGAGTGCCGGTGAAATAACATTGGTTTATATGGTGAAATTTGCACATGACCGAATTCTAAGTATTGGGCAATAGGGGTGATCGATTTTCAAAAAAAAAAAGGATTCAAAATTTAATAGTGCGGGATCGAAAGATCATGAGGAGAGATGAAAATTTTGTTCCGGCACTTTTTTGATACATAGTGCCTGGTGTCACCCCGGATTTTTTTTGAGAATCACCTAAAAAATGACCATTTTTCGACATATTTTTGCAATTTGCTCTAAATGTGATGCTTAAACATACCGTTTTTTGCCGTAATTCGGCAGCTCGTAACAAACTACGTTGAATAGGATGGATTCACAGCGATTTATTCCAGGATATTCAAAAAAAATAGTGCCAATTTGCCAAAAATCGCCGAAATTTTTCATTTTTCTGTATATTTGCCCATTTATGGTGATCCAGTCCACTATAATCAATCTGAAAATATCTCTATCCGACTCAATTTGTTCCTAGCTATCGATATAACGCCATATCACAACTCAAAATGTGCCTCTGGACATGGATAGAGCAACAAATATTCGAAAATCACCTCAAATTTGGCCATTTTATTTCAATTAAAAATTATAAAAGCCAAATTATAGCCAACATACGTACGAAAATGTGTCTATATCCAGACAATTTTGGACGAGGGATCGATTTCCAGTTTCATTTCTTACAGGTTTGTGTGATTTTTGTGTCAAAAAGTACGATTTTCTGGGACCAAATTGTGCAAATTACGACCATGAGCTTCAGTTTCACGGCTAAATCACCATTGAGCAAACAATTTCTGCCTTTGCTACCTTCGAACATCTAGTATGATCCCTCACGAACATTTTAAGTACCTACATGACCAAGTCGAGTGATGTTTTCATATATTTCTAGCCGCATATTCGGTTG